TAGTGCAAATGGTAGGTGTTAATGTGTGTATTATTTCGGACGGGGTAATGGCCAGTGCAAGAAATGTTACAAACATGTGTTTCCTCTGTTCCACAACAAGATCGAAGTGTTTTCCTTCAGAAACTTGAAACTGAAGTATGTGTGAAGGAAGAGGACATGATAAAATTGATTTAACCAAAAAAAGTGAACATAAGAATAGTGGGAGTGTAGTAAGGCAGTGTGTCTTTGAGGTTATTCTTGCACTATTAATAATATCGTGTGAATTATGTGGAGTGGTTTGGAAGAAATGTGTTTTAGTTGTTATATGTATAGAGAGTGAATTATATTTAATGAGTACATATTTGGTATGACAGAAAAGAGGGTGTCGTTTTGGGATGTAGGCTCTGAATATTACACGTGTGTGTAGGTTATTAGTCAGAATGATATATTTTTTGTATTATTATAAGTACTTGTAAGAAGAGGGTGCAAACTGAATTTCTAGTCCCCATTGAAGAAGTTATTTTTTGAATTTATGTCCTAGTTCTTTGTGACAGTGTGGTGTGTATAGTGTGTGTTGTTTTGATAACAGTGTTGTGAAGTGTAAAGTGAAGGTTAAATTTTCTAGTGTGACATAGTATTTTTGTGTGTAATATATACAGTGATGTGTAGTGAGTTATTGTTGTGTTTTCAAGAACGTTATGATTTGCATTCAGCCACAGTGGATTCAAAAGTTTCCCCCTTTATGTACATATCTTGTTTGTATGAAGAATTCTTTCTTATAACATGGTGGTATGATAAGTGAAGCACATGTTGTCGTTGGTATTATGCTGGCACTCGTGTTAAATGACAGTGTGAAATGTGCACAGTTGTGTGTAGAGTATGTGTTATAGGATGAAGAATGATGGCAAGTGAGTTGTAAGTTAGATGTATATTTCGGTGTGATAGACAAAGGAAATTCATTGTTGCCATCTAATCTTGCAGGCTGACATGTGCTAGCAGGTAGTATAGGGGATCAGGGAATTATGATCTTTCCATTTATTAAACTACTTGGAGAATCACATTGTTTACAGGATTGCACGTGTTGTTACAGCTGACAGCCTTGTAATGGTATTTTATAGTTTTGTCTAGAACATATATAGTGATGTGTTGGTTTTTTGTTTATGTTGAATGATATATTGTTAGGTTCAGATATTAATCAGTGATTTCCCTATCTACTATTTGAGCACTAGTATTGTTGGTTGGATACCTTTCATATAAAGTATACGTTTGTCCTTGACATATGTCGAAAACCATAATAAAGTTAATAATGTGAAGATTGGAAAAGAGAAAATTTGCGGAACTTGTGGAAATTGTAAGGGTAAATCAAGATAATTGTGAAATCATGCACTTGAGAGCGTTTTGAAATATCAGTATTTCGGAAAAATGCATTTTCATCCACTATAAATATCGTAGTATATTGCATGGTTTCATACATTATGTAGAGAGTTTAACAGGATAATATATGCAAGAGTTTATGACGTGAGAAATTTCGGAAATAAAATGCCCCGTATAATTATATAATGATTTACTACGCTATCAGTGGTATTCAGTCGTAAGATATTTCCGACGGCCAAACCGTGCTTAACTGATCATAACGATGCGTAGAAGTCGTTTGCGCACACCTATCATAATGTACAATCACAACCTAACATTTGCATAAATTACCGAACTTGGCCCCCTCCAAGGTACAGATGGATACGCAGTAGTCTACTGCGCAAACCTAATCTGACCAACCTAACCTTACCTAACCTAACCTAAGTTAACCTAACATCAGCGATCCAAGGGCCAGCACCCTGGTTTACAGGTGGGTGCGCAGTAATTCATTGCGCAGACCTAAGAGTGATGTCATTTACGAAGCTGCTATTTAACTGAAAGTAATATAGGACTGCCGTAACGTGGAATATAAGTCGAAATATGACGCTATGTATAAAATCGAGCTTCTTAACCGTTTTCCACCCATAATATAAATTTGTGTTGTTATATTCCGAGGTTTTATTGCTACGTGATAGCCTAGATTGTGTCGAGAACGCCACTCCAACCTCAAGAGTTTTTGAATCCCCCACGGTAATATAAATGATTACTGAATATCACATATTTTGGCATTATGCTGCCCTCCAATGGCATAACTTTATGACGAAAAATCTTTGTTGTCCGTGAAATCGTTCCTTTGTTTCTCGTATAGGGATACGCGACCATTTGAGTGAGTTGTGGGCATTTGTTTCGACCGAATTTCCGTTCGTGGATAGTAAGTAGAATAATATTATACACGAAAATGAGTAAAAATTAGGTTGAAAAATTACCGTCCTGTAATCCGACTAATATTCGAATGTTTCTGTTTCAGTCAGTTTAAGAGGTTGGCCGCCCTGTCAGTGTGACCTATATATCCGGTGTGCACCATCAGGGTTGGTTTCCTTCCTGATATGAAGAGGTATTTATAAATAATAAGAGGGTGTTATGTGTATGTTTGTATACATATATGTACATGTTATGAATAATTATGTGCCTGAAAGTATATATTAAAAAATTCAGTGAAATTGTGCAAATGGTAGGTGTTAATGTGTGTATTATCCTGGACCGAGTAATGGCCAGTGCACGAAATTTTACAAACATGTTTTTCTTCTGTTCCACAACGATATCGAAGTTTTTTCCCTTTGATCCATGAATCTGAAATATGTGTGAAAAAGAATACACGATTACGTACAATTATTGATTGAACGAAATTAGGTACTTGTAATAATAGTGGCTGTGTAGTTAAAGTCAATGTGTCTTTGATTTAATTCCTGCATTATTATTAATAATCTCTTGTGCAGTGTGCACAGTGATTTACACAAAATGTGATTTAGTGTTTATATGGATAGAGAGTGTATTAGATTTTATGAGTGTATATTTGTTATGAGAAGAAAAGGGGGTGTAGTTTTGCTATGTATCCTCTGAATTTTACAGGTATGCGTAGGTTATTAGTCAGAATGACAAACTTTTATTTTGCATTAGTAAAGTACAACTAAGAAGAGGGTGCAAAATTAATTTCTAATTCCTATTGAAGAATTTATTTTTTGAACTTTTGTCTCATTTCTGTGTGACAATTGTGGGTATGATGTATGTTGGTATGGACACAATAATGTCGAGTGTAGACTGCAGCTACAATTCTATAGTGTGACGTTATGCTTTTGTGAAATATTTATAAAGTGACATGTATCGGGTTTTGCAGAATATTAATAATATTTTCAAGAATATTAAACTCTCCATTCGCCCACAAATGATTCAAAAGTTTCCCCTTTTATGCACATATCATGTTTCATGAAGAATTCTTGCTTATAACATGGTTGTATGCTAAGTTAGACACATGTTGTCGCTGGTATTAAGCTGGCAATCCTCTTCAGTGACAGTGAAAACGGTGCGCAGTGTTGTGTTATGTATGTGTTATAGCATGAAGAATGATGGCAAGTGATTTGTATGTTAGCTGTGTATTTCGGTGTGAAATATAACTGATTGCCTTCTTGCCATCTGAACTTCCAGGTTTACAAGATCTAGCAGGTAGTATAGAGAATGAGGGGATTATTTTCCTTCCATTTATTAAAGTGCTAACTTGATCATATTATTCACAGGAAAGCAGGAGGTGTTACAGCTGACATTCCTTTAATTGTAATTTATAGTTTGGACTAGAACATATATAGTGATGTGATGGTTTCTTGTTTTAATAGTTAGGAAATTGTTGAAGGATATTTTCTAATGTTCAGACTGTAATCAATGATTTCCCTATCTAATATTTGAGCAATAATATTGAGGGGTGGATACCTTTAATATAGAGTATATGTATATCGTTCACATATCGAAAAACACAACAATGTTAATAATGGAAAAATTTAAAAATAGAATATTCCGGGAAATGTGTGAGATTGTAAGAGTCAATTTAGGTAATTGTGATAGCATGCACTTGGGAGCGTCTGCAATTAGTATATTTTGGAAAAATGAATTTAGGACCATTATAAATATCGAATATATGGAAGGTTTCATCAATTACGTAGTGAGTATAACAGAAAAATATAAGGAAATATTTATCTTGTGAGAAAATTCGGAAATAATATGTCCCGTATAAATATATAATGATTTTATGAGCTTCCTGAGACATTCAATCATAAGATATTGCCGACGGCGAAACCGTTCTCAACTGACCATAACGATGCGCAGTAGACATTTACGCACACCTATCATAATGTACACTCACAACATAACATTAGAGTAAATAACCGAGCTTCGCCCCCCTCGAAGATACCGATGGATGCGCAGTGGCCTTTTGCGCAAAATTAACCTAGCATAACCTAACCTAACCTAACTCAACCTATCAGTGAATGGTACCCAGGTTTACCTTCTGAGTTGCTGTTGGATGCGCAGTAGATCATTGCGCACATCTAAGGGTGATGTCATTTATGAAGCTGCTATTATACCGAACAAAATATAGGACTGTCGTAACCTATAATGTAATAGAAAATATGACGTTGCTACGTGATAACTTAGATTGTATCGAAAACGCCGCTCCCACCTCACGAGTTTGCGAATCCCCCACGGTGATACAAATGACTACTGAATATCACATATTACAGCATTTTGCTCCCCTCCAATTGCATAACATTATGACGAAAAATCTTTGTTATCAGTGAAGACTTTATCTCTTTTTCTTTAATGAATACGCGACGAATTCAGTGACCGCTTGGCATATGTTTCGCCCGAATTTACCTTCCTGCATAGGAAGTAGAATGTAAATTATACACGAATATGTGTAAAAAAATAGGGTGAAAATTTACCGTCCTGTAATGGAAGTGATAATGGAATATTTGTGTTTCAGTCATGTTATGCGGTTGGCTGCCCTGTCACTGTGACCTAAATATCCGATGTACAACATCAAGGTACGTTTCTTTCCTGGTATAAAGACGTGTTTATAATGTTATGTTGGCAATCCTGTTCAGTGAGAGTGAAAAAATGCACGGTGTTGTGTTGAGTATGTGTTATAACGTGAAGAATGATGACAACCGATTTTTAAGTTAGATGTGTATTTCGGTGTGATAGACAATTGATTGCATTCTTGCACATTTGAACTTCCAGGCTTACCTTTGCTAGCAGGTAGTTTTCATCATGAGGGAATTATCTTCCTTCCATCTATTAAATTGCTAACAGGATCACATTATTTACATGAAAGCAGGAGTTGTTGCAGCCGACATTCTTGTAATTGTATTTTCTAGTTTAGTCTAGAACAGTGTGGGCGAACCCGCACCCCGAGGGCCGCATGCGGCCCTCTTTTTTATTTTGTTGGCTGCCCCCCTTCTTACTGATTAAAAATGTTATTTAAACATTAGAAATTGTTGTATACCCTTCCTACTGTTTTAAGTTTAAATAACAGTAAACAGAATAAATCATATTTGTAAAATTCAAGGAAATGCCATCAGCAGTGTTGGCAACATCAATACATAACAGAGTGACCATTGCTAAACATTATTTTATTCCCGCTGCCCTGCAGGTTGTGCCAAGGTAATTTTTAACGGGACACCGCTAACATCATCGATATTGCCCATCAGATTGCAGCACCTTACAATCTTCATTTCTCCTATAACGGCCACTACGATAATAATCTTAATTTTTTGACCATTATAATCTGTGGCGTGCATGCTGCAATTTTCACTTTCATTCAGTACTACCTAAAATGGCGGAACTAACGAAACGACTTGTTTAAGAAGAGAAACGACAATTTCAGTCCTCGTGGCAGGAAAGTTACTTTTTTGTTGAACATAATTAATAACCACTGTGTGTTATCTGTTCTCAAGTCTTAAGTGTTTCCAAGAGGTTTAATTAGAGTAGACACTATACCTGCTTGCCTAAATCAAAATACTACCAATACCGAGGAAGTTCCAGGAGTTGTGTGTTTAATGATTTGAAGCTGAAATTATCTAGGCAGAAATATATCTTTCAGCAACCATCAAACACTGCTGTTTTGAAGGCTTCTTATGTGGTATGATCAGAGCTAAATAAAAGTAAAAATTCTTTTAGGATGGTGAGCTCATTAAACGATGTCTTGTAAAAATGACATCTTCATTTGGAGATATTAAGATGGCTAAAAATTTTGAAACAGTGTCCTTGTCTCATCAGACAGTAAGTAGAAGAATTAATGATATGGGTAGTGAAGTTTCAGGTATTCTCAAGGGCATTTTGGAAAAATGTGGATTTTACTCTATAACTCTAGATGAAAGCACAGATATAGCTGACATCAGCCAGTTCCTTATCTTTGTCAGAACAATAAACGACTAATTTGAAATTCATGAAAAACTGTTGGAATTAAAATCATTAGAAACCAGCACCAAAGGTATTGACATATTCAACGCACTGGATAATATCGTTTCTAAATATGGAGGTTTCGGGAAGTGCTCTGGCATTGCAACAGATGGAGCTAAAGCAATGGTTGGTCATAGAACTGGGTTAGTAGGACTGTGTAAAGAAAAAGGCATACATTGTTTGTTTTTCCACTGCATTAGCCAGCAGGAGGCTCTCTGTGGAAAAATTATAAGGCTCAGTGGGACAATGAAAACTGTTGTAAATACTGTAAATTTAATAAGGGGTGGCAATAAAGCCCAGAGAGACAGGGAATTTATTGCATTCCTGGACAATTTGGAAGCTGAATATGGTGACATTTCATTGTACTGTGAAGTGCCCTGGCTAAGTGCTGGAAATTGCCTGCAACAGAATTTCTGGGTTGAGGAATGAAATTCTTGCTTTTCTCAGAAATGAAAACATTGGGCATGAGTATCAAGAAAAACTGGAAAAAATCCAGTTTTTAAATAATCTTGCTTTACTGACAGATTTAACATCTCATCTAAATGCTTTAAACCTAAAACTACAAGGCAAAAAACAAAATATCTCCCAGCTTTATGGACATATTGAGGGCATCCGCAAAAATCTTGATGTAATGCAAATTGCACTTAAGGCAAATAATACAGCACACTTCCCATCTTGTCAGCAGCTGAAAGAAGAAGAAGAAAATGACACAAAATTTAGTATGTTTCATGAAATAATAATTGATATCAAGAAAGAGTTCCAGGACAGATTCCAGGATTTTGACCCCCTAAAGCCAAAACTTGCACTGTTCAATAACCCCATGGAGATTGAAGTGAGTGAGGTGCCCTGCGAACTTCAAATGGAAATTTGTGATCTTCAGGCAGACCCATTCTACCAGACTAAAAAGAGTGATGTCCCTGAAATTTCCTGGAACCTGATTTCTAAAGAACGTTTCCCCAAACTGCTTAAATGTTCTCTGCAAATGTTATCGCTGTTTGGCAGTACATATGTGTGTGAAAGTGCTTTTTCTGCCCTAAAACAAATTAAATCAAAAACGAGAAATCGCATTGAAAGTGCTTCACTGGAATCAAGCCTGAGACTTTGCCTTACTGAACTTACAGTGGACATTGAAAAAACTTGTATCAGAAAATCAGTGGCAATCATCATATTGACTTCTCGACTGTAAAATAAAGTGATATATTAAATTAGTGAGCTATATGTAATTCGTTTTCTTTCTTTAATGTCTCTGGCCCTTACTTTCCTATACAAAAATTTGACTGGCCCTCGGGTAACTAAAGGTTGGACCACACTGGTCTAGAAGATATATAGAGATATGATGGTTTCTTGACNTTGGCCCTCGGGTAATTAAAGGTTGTGAACCGTCTGAAGACGATTCAAAGGGTTCGCCCCGTGAAAGGCGTCGTGGAATAGCAGTCAACCACAGCCAATGCTCATATATTTCTTGTAATGTTCTTTTTAAAGATGTCACGTGACCCTCCCCCTCTTTTTTCCTTCCTCCTCCTCTTGTCGTGGCAAGATGACACGAACGATCGCTCTCTTTCCCTGGGTGGCGGTCGTGCAGGGTGGTTGTCCCTGCTCTTAGAAATTTCTGTTTGGTTTCCTTTTTTTTTTCTTCAAAATTAAATTTAGTTTTGGAAGTCAGCGCGGTGTGTCCCGGGAGAGGGCCCCTTTGCTGAGCTATGGAGCAATGGCGAGGCAAAGGTGTTTTTTATAAATATATACGTATGGGTACCCTGTGACTACGTATACACATGTGAGTATTATTATTTTTTTTCTTTTCTTGCTTGGTGAAATTAAATGGGCGGTGCCCCATGAGAAAGGTACTGGCTTGAATGACCGGAGTGGGTCATGCTAGGTTTCTTGTAATATCGTTTCTTGTATTCATATCATATGTTTTATTTCCTTTATTATTGTTAATGTATATTTATTTCGTTATTATATTATTGTATTGTTAAACTCAGTCAGCATTGCTCTCGAATTGTGCGTGTATTTCCCACAACAACAAGTGAATGAACTCCTCCCCCTTTCCCTCTCCTGAAATTTCGGACTGGTTACAGTCCGGGTAAATAACGGTTCACAGGAGAGAGGAGAGAGGAGAGAAGAACCACACTGGTCTAGAAGATATATAGAGATATGATGGTTTCTTGACTTAATAGTTAGGAGATGGTTGAAGGATATTTTGTTAGGTTCAGAACGTAACCAGTGATTTCCCTATCTAATATTTGGGCAATACTATTGAGCGATGGATACCTTTGATATAGAGTATATGTATATCGTTCACATATGTCGAAAAACATAATAAAGTTAATAATGAAAAACATTTGAAAATAGAATATTTCGGAAAATGTTTCAAATTGTGAGAATAATTAATCTAATTGTGATATCATGCACTTTGGAGCGTTCTGCATTGTGAATATTCCGAAAAAAATGCATTTAGGACCATTATAAATATCGAAATATATGCAATTTTGAATAAATTACGTAGTGAGTATAACAGAAAAATATTGTAACGTGTTTCCTCGTTACTGAATCCCACTTCTGACACCAGTGTAACGTGTTTACGTTACTGAAGACGCCGTAGAGATGGTTAATTGGTTTATTTAACAATCTACAACTAACGGCTATAATTAATGATCACAATATTACGGGTTTCCACACTTTACAAACCCTACAACAGAATCTCTTAACACAATCTTCACTTCTCTTCACGTACTAATAACGCGGGAGCTATACAAGTCTCCCCGAAATACACACTCCGAGTATAACTGTACTACAGCACTCACTATGTCTGGAAAGCACACAATAAGTCTTCCGCTCGCTGACTTCTTAGCTATCGCACCCTCCCGGGCTGCTATGTTTCGACTCGGCGACTGTTACTTTATAACTGACTGTGAATAGCCTTCGCTGCTTCTTAAGTAGCCTCGATCGGACAGTTGTTGCCTGGTGCCTTGTTGCTAGCCACGCTGTCCGGAGTTGTTAACGGCTGCCTAGTAACCGCGATATCCCCGGTGACGTCACCGCGTTGACTTGCGTTGCCTAGCGACCAGGATGCTAGGACTCGGCTAACATCGGCTCGCTTCGGCTTCGCTCGGCGCATCACGGCTGGCGGAGGGTGGGGGGGGAGGGCTCATAGCTCAGCATGTCACAATATATGGAAATGTTTAACATGTAAGAAAATTCGGAAATAATATGTCCCGTATAAATATATAATGATTTCATGAGCTATCTGAGACATTCAATCGTAAGATATTGCCAACGGCTAAACCGTGCTCAACTGACCATAACGATGCGCAGTAGACATTTGCGCACACCTATCATATTGTACACTCACAACCTAACATTAGCGTAAATTACTGAGCTTCGCTTCCTCCAAGATATAGATGGATGCGCAGTGGCCTACTGCACAAACCTAACCTAACCTAACCCAACTCAACCTAACATCAGCGAATGGTGCCCAAGGGTACCCCATGGGTTGCAGTTGGATGCGCTGTAGTACATTGCGCACACCTAAGAGTGACTTCATTTATTAAGCTGCTATTTCACCGAACGTAATATAGGACTGTGGTAACATGGAATATAATTGGAAATATGACGTTATTTATAAAATTGAACGTGTGGATAGATTTTCCAACCATAGTATCAATCTATGCTCTTATATTCCTATGGTATATTGCTACGTGATAGCTTAGATTGTGTCGAAAATGCCGCTCCCACCCCACGAGTTTGCGAAACCCCCACGGTGATACAAATGACTACTGAATATCAGCTATTATGGCATTATGCTGCCCTCCAATGTCATAACGTTATGACGAAAAATCTTCATTATAAGGGAAGTTGCTCCCTTCTTTGTCGTGGATGGATCCGCGACCAATTCAGTGGCGGTTTGGCATTTGTTTCGCCCGAATTTCCCTTCCTGAATATGAAGTAGAATATAAACTATACACGAAAATGTGTAAAAAAAATATGGTGAAATATTACCGTCCTGTAATGCAACTGATAATGGAATATTTCTGTTTCAGTCATGTTACGCTGTTTGCTGCCGTGTCACTGTGACCTAAATTTCCTGTGTACAACATCAAGGTAGGTCTCTTTCCTGGTATGAAGAGGTGTTTGTAAATAATAAGACGGTGTTATGTATGTATGTTTATATACATATATGTTCCAGTTCTGATTAATTATCTGCCTGAAATTATATCTTAAAAATTCAGTGAGATAGTGGAAATGGAAGGCTTTAATGTGTGTATTATCTTGGAGCGAGTAATGGAGAGTGCAGCAAATTTTACGAACTTGTGTTTCTTCTATTGCACAATGGAACCGAAGTGTTTTCCCTCTGAACCATGAAACTGAAGTATTTGTGAAGGAAGAATACACCATTACGTACATTTATTGATTAAACGAATGTAAGTGTTTGTAAGAATAGTGGGTGTGTAGTGAAAGTCAATGTGTCTTTGAGGTTATTCTTACACTATTATTAATAATCTCGTGTGAAGTATGTACAGTGATTTGCACAAAATGTGGTTTAGTGGTTATATGGATAGAGAGTGGATTAGATTTTATGAGTGCATATTTTGTATGAGAGAAAAGAGGGAGTGGTTCTGGTATGTATCCTCTGAATTTGACAGGTATGAGTAGGTTATTGGTCAGAATGATATACTTTTTTGCATTAGTAAAGTACTAGTAATAAGAGGGTGCAAAGTGAATTTCTAGTTCCCATCGAAGAAGTTATTTTTTTAATTTATATCTTAGTTCTTTGTAACAATGGTGGGTATAATGTATGTTGTTTTGGTCACAATAATGTGGAGTGTAGACTGAAGTTATAATTCTCTAGTGTGACGTTATATTTTTGTGTGTAAGTTATACAGTGACATGTATGTTGTCTTGTAGTGTTTTCAAGAATATTAAGATCTCCATTCACCCACTATGGATTTAAAAGTTTCGATTTTTATGTACATATCATGTTTCATGAAGAATTCTTGCTTATAACATGGTGGTATGCTAAGTTAAACACATGTTGTCGTTGGTGTAATGCTGGCAATCCAGTTCAGTGACGGGGAAAAGGGTGCACAGTGCTGTGTTGAGTATGTGTTTTAGCATGAAAAATGATGGCAAATATTTTGTAAGTTAGATGTCTATTTCGCTGTGATAGACAACTGATTGCATTGTTGCCATGTGAACTTCCAGGCTTACATGTGCTAGCAGGTAGTATAGAGAATGAGGGGATTATTTTCCTTCCATCTATTAAAGTGCTAAGAGGATCACATTATTTACAAGAAAGCAGGAGTTGTTACAGCTGACATTCTTGTAATTGTAATTTATAGTTTAGTCTAGAACATATATAGTGATGTGATGGTTTCTTGTTTTAATAGTTAGGAGATTGTTGAAGGATATTTTCTTAGGTTCAGATCTTAATCAGTGATTTCCCTATCTAATATTTGAGCAATAATATTGAGGGGTGGATACCTTTGATATAGAGTGTATGTATAACGTTCCCATATGTCGAAAAACATGTTAAAGTTCATAATGGTAACATTTGAAAAGAGTTTATTTCGGGAAATATTTGAAATTGTGAGAGTCAATTAAAATAATTGTGATATCATGCACTTGGGAGCGTTCTGCAATGTGAATATTTAGGAAAAAATGCATTTAGGACCAGTATAAATATCGAAATATATGCAAGGTTTCATAAATTACTTAGTGAGTATTACAGAAAAATATATGCAAGTGTTTATCATGTGAGAAAATACGGAAATAATATGTCCCGTATAAATATATAATGATTTCATGAGCTATCTGACACATTCAATCGTAAGATATTGCCGACTGCTAAACCGCGCTCACCTGATCATAACGATGCGCAGTATACATTTGCGCACACCTATCATAATGTACACTCACAACCTAACATTAGCGTAAATTACCGATCTTTGCCCCCACCAAGATACAGTTGGATGCGCAATGGACTACTGAGCAAACCTAACCTAACCTAACCTAACCTAACCCATCCTATCTTCAGCGAAGGTACCCAAGGGTACACCCTGAGTTGCAGTTGGATGCGCAGTAGTTCATTCCGCACACCTACGAGTGACGTCATTTATGAAGCTTCTATTTCACCGAAAGTAATATAGGATGTCGTAACATGGAATACAATTAAAAATATGACGTGTATAAAATTGATCGTGTGGATAGTTTTTCCACCCATAATATCTATCTATGCTCTTATATTCCGATGGTATATTGCTACGTGATGACTTAGATTGTGTCGAAAACGCCGCTCCCACCTCAGGAGTTTGCGAATCCCCCACGATGATACAAATGACTACTGAATATCACATACAGGTTGATGCAACTGAATGCTATTGGCGGGCAACATAACCGCCGTGACGTCATGAAGCATCAATGCTGCCGCTGTGGCCAGCTGCGACTCTCTTTATAAAAAAATGGCTGGCACCAGTGCCGAGTGCTCGGTCTGTAGGAAGGTATGCTATCATACCACCTTCCCTGTCGTTAAGAAATTATGCTATTATACCACCAGCATTTTTTTACTGCTCCCTCTAAAAAAACACTGGTTCACACGTATAGCTAGAATTAATAATCGATGCAAATAAAATGTTCATATTTTACAGGCACTGGTTGGAAACTTGCTCCAAATAAATAATGTTGCAACCTGATATCTTGTACTGCAAATGTTGTTACTCCGTTGTGTGTTTTCTGTTTTCGAGCTGAGTATAACATCACTTCGCTCAAAACCATCAGGAGGGGAATGAGTTAAATGATATCAAACTCACTTCGAAAACAGAAAACACACAACGGAGTAATAACCTTTGCAGTACAAGATATCAGGTTGCAACATTTTTTTTTCGGGAGAAAGTTTCTCACCAGTGCCTGTAAAATAAGAACATTTTATTTACGTCAATTCAACACCCCCTTACTGAAATGCAATGGATATTTGAACTATAACATATAAGAATACTTGTGTTTAGGAACGCTTATGGTGGGTAGACTTGCAAGAAAATTCTGTTTCCATCAGAGATACTTGTATTCAACTTCATAAATTTGCTTACAACTTATACTTGAAAGCTACACAAAACATAGCTTTTCTGTTACATTAATGTGTTATAAATCATATATAGGGAGTAATAATACTGAGGTTTCCATTGTTTATTACTTTCAGTAGAATAATAAAACTCGAGAATCTGATACACACTCTTGTTAACAAGATTAAGATTGCATTTAATAATATATGAAAAGGAATAAAATAATTGCAGAACTCTGACAAACATCATACATACATAGCTTCACAGATCCGTTGCCCGTTTATTGGGCCGGAAATTGAGCTCGTCAGAATAATTATAAGTAGTTGCAATATGCAACCAAGTCCAAGTAGACACAACCTAGATACAATAGGAATATAATACAATTACGTATTTGCCATATATTCATCAATAGAATAGAAAGCTTTCAAGCTAAGAAAATCTTCCAGTTTTCATTTAAATAAATTAACATTATCCTTTAAAATATATAATTCATGTGGCAAATTATTAAAAAATTTTATGGATGTATAATACACTCCTTTTTGTGTAATGGATAGTCTAGCTGTGACGTGACGTGTAGACTATTTTGTACTCTAGTGTTAATTTTATGTACACTATTATTTGTAGGATTCTTATTTTCGTTTTCAATTACAAACATGACCATGGCATATATAAACAAACAGGGAACTGTAAGTATCCATAATTCTCTGAAAACCTCTCTACAGGAACTTCTAGACCTCATCATTAACATTGCTCTAATTGCTCTTTTCTGAGCCACAGAAACTCTTTTCATTGATGACGAAGAAAACCCCAGAAAATAACACCATATTTAAGTTGAGCTTGACAGTAAGCACAATAAGCCATTTTCTACACTTGCCTATTTACTATAGGCTGTAGTTTTCTAACCACAAAGGTTGCAACACTAAACTTATTTATCACATCATCAGAGTATTTTTCCAATCCCAAATGATTGTCCAGGCACACACCTAAAAACTTAACATTTACAGAAAATTTAAGTGTTTGATCATTATATATTATATGTAATGGATAGTCCTTGGCCTTAGTGGTCATAAATTTCATTACATGGGGTTTTTCTTAATTTAGTATTAATTGGTTAGCTTAGAACCATCTATATAAATGTCTCATTACTAAATTAATTTTGTTATTAAGGCTACTAATATCCTGTGAAGAGACAATAAAAGTGGTGTCGTCTGCATATAGAACCGTATGTGCCAACCAATTTAGAATCCTAGGCAGATCATTAATATATACATTGAACAACAAAAGTCCCAGTACAGATCCCTGCGGAACTCCATGTTTCTAGTTTACCATTTAGAAACATGTAGTTGAGTTTTGAGTCTGTAGTATGATTTTTGCTTCCTGTTATATAGGTATGTTTCAAGCACTTTTAGTAGAGATCCTTTTATTCCATACTGTTTAAATTTTTGGACAAGCAGGTCATGATTGACACAGTCAAATGTCTTAGTGAGGTCACAAAAAATCCCCACAACCATCTCCTAATTGTTCCATGCTTTATAAATATAATCAGTAACCGTAAAAATAGCTTTTTGCGTCGACACACCCTTTCTTAAACCAAACTGATTATCTACAATAATATTATTGTTTGTTAAATGCTGTATTACTCTGTTATATATTAGTATCTCGAATATTTTGGAAAAACCCTGTCAACAAGGAACTGGGCCGGTAGTTAGATATTTCCGTAATATTACCTTTCTTAAAGCATGGTATAATATTGGCATATTTTAACCGATCTGGATAAATTCCGGTGGTTAGGGATAGATTAAAAATATGCATAAGTGGTTTGGTTATTTGTTTACTACACAGTCTTATGAATTTGTTTGATATACCATCATATCCGCAGGAACCCTTATTCTTTAGTAATGAAATTATGCCAGAAATTTCTGACGATGTAATTGGAATATTAACTATCTCAGGAAATTTGTCAGTAAGACTACTCATCCTCAGTCTTTCGGATATTGACTAATTAATTTCTCCACTCAATCTATAAAATAGGTATTAAAAAAACCTAGCTGCTTTATTAATTTCAATTTTGATTTAACCGTTTTTGAACACCGCCGGAGCAGCTTTTCTTTTAGCTACACTACCAATTTCATTATTTATAATTTTCCAAGACATTTCAGATTTATTTGTGGATTTCATTAACATTTCTTTGTAGTACATCTCTTTAGCTTTTCGAATGACTCTTCTTAATATGGAACAGTAACAGAAGTAATATTCTCTTATTTTAATATGATGAGTTAATTTATTTATTGTGTAGATGTATCTTTTACATCTACACAACACTTTTATTCCACCAGTTATCCACTGATTTTTATGCCCCACATCCATCACAAATTGCATGGGGAAGCATGATAAAAAACGACTATAATTGTGTTTTGGAATGCATTAAAACTTGCATCTACCTCCACAATACTAAGGGTCATATCCCATGTTTCATTTTGTAGTACCTCAGTAAACATAATGACTCCAGTCTTAGTTATTAACCTCTTTTTAACAGGTTTATTCTTATTCTGCTGAGTCCCAAACACATTATTTATCACCAGATATTGCGCATCATGATCTGATAGACCATTCGTTACAGAGTGCACATGATATGTATTTACTCTACTATAGTCCAAAAAATATTATCAGTGGCTGTGCAGGATTCTTTTACAATCCTAGTTGGGAAGTCCACAATATAAAACAAGTTATACATTTGCATTAATGAACTTCTTTGATGCCCTTTTCTCAAGACACATAAAAAAATTTATATCATGATATAAATCATGATCTGAAAAATGTTCATGTTTCCAAATTCTATACTAAACACAATAATATGGCCAAAATAATAAATTAACTGAACAAACATAATGAACCTTGAAAGTCTGATATATATATATATGTAAAAGTAAAGTAAATAATGTAAAGCTATCCCTCTTAACAGGCCATGAAGGCCCATAGGGTTGATATACGTTCATAAGTTCAATGCTGAACACAATAATATGGCCAACATAATGCAATGACTGAAGAGATATACCCATAATAACAAATTAGATGAATACAATATGTAGACACTAATAAGTAAAACTTCCTACCTAGGAATTAGTTAATAAATTTAATTACAAAATATATCCTGACACTGATTCCGCTCCTCGGTGTTTCACGCTGAATCAGGTAACCTGAAGATTGCAAGTCAGTTATAAAGTAATGCCTTTTCACCCTTACCCACACACATAAACAGGAGCCACTTGAGTCAGAAATAATTTCTCACACAATTCTGACTGAAACATAATTATTATTCAGATACAGGGCAGAATGAACTCTGATCATCTTCTGACAACTAGTTCCACACAGACCTCTGATAGCAAGTGCACTGATGCTGTTAGTTCAGGGCATCTACAAACTGTCCCACAGTTGGATTATTGTTCAAACCATACTACGAAGGAATAGCTTCAAATGTGTTCACAAGGTGATCATCAAACAGCTGTTGCCAGGTATTCACCACAGCACCCTCCTGAAAGAACATTAAAAAGGAAAGTAGTGGGCTTCCTTACATGATGGACTTCTTCAGATTTGAAAATATCACACTTTACTTTAAAGGGACTGCCATTATAAAGATTTTGTATATCTGACTAAATTATTCCTTATAGCAAAGTCTTTACCACCTTATTCTCTTATAA